TGCCTTGGAAACTCAAGGAGAGAGCCCTATGAGTAGAATCAACTTGATGGCAAGGAGGTTTTTTTTTTTTTTTTCTTTTTTCATTATTCATTTAATAGTTTACTCTATCAGTAGTAAAATAATCGACTGCAGAGAAAGAACCATGTATGTGTGTGTATTTTTCAATGTGGGTCAATCTGAATCCTAAATTCCTAAAATAAAATCTGAAAAAAAGTATCTTCTCATTGTACTGATATAGTATAAAATGAATGCTTTATGGGTATTGCTTAAGCGTCTTGTGCCACCTGCTGTCTTCTTTCAGGTCCCAGTAGCAATCCCTGAACATACCTTCTGTTCTGCTGTCATGGTCAGACTTTGCAACCGGCCAGTCATATTCCCTAAACTCTTTTCAAAAGCAGCTACAAGGTGAGCCTGTGGACAAAAGAGAAGAAACATATTTTAAATGTCATAATTTTATGTGGATTGCTGAAAACCTTTCATTTTATAAAATGCCTAATTTCAGGTGTTCCAACTCTTTAAATATTGTGACCATCATCATTACCTCTCAGTGGTGACTGTGTTGTAACACAAATCTTCATTTATTGTTCCTAAACTTTAGCTTTTTAGAACCAGTGTTTCATTCTCCTGACATTTGGAGTTCAGCTGATAAAAGGGGATGGTATTTTGCAAATAATAACAGCTTCTGATTTGCACATCATGAAGGGATGTGACACCAAAAATACTGAATAAAGTTTGGAGTTGCCAACTTTTTAGACTTAATGTTCAAGAGGAGGTCACTGAAATAGTCAATGGATAAATGTTCCTCATTTTTATACTACCCCGATGACCTTTGAAGATATTGTTGGCTCCTCTACTGTAATGATACTCTCCTCCAAGTGTCAGACATCTGCTGACAGCTATAACATTATCCTTCCTCTTTTTCTACTTACAAAGAATTGAATTGAAAAGAGTTGCCTTTGCTTTCCAAATTCTCTTCAATAAAAGAGCTTTTCTATTTTATTCATTTCAACTAAGAATGTATAGGTAGGCCAGGTAGAAATAATATTCAGTCATATTTCATTTAACATTAAACTTTTGTGGTTTTGTTTTAAATTTCAGAAAATTATATATGTTGCAATATATAACCATAACTCTTATGATTACAAAGTGTTTTACAATCTCGTTACAGCTCTAACATAGACCAGTTTCTATGACATGACATTATGTAACACAGTTTGAACCACAAAATATTAAGATGCTGTAAGATGCTTCCATCTCTCAGTATAGCTTAGGTAGAACTACAACTATATCAAGCAAATGGATATAATTTTATTGTGTACCTTAAAGAAATTAGGATCTAATATTTTATATCCTACATCTGCAGTGAACTACCTAAGCAGCAAAAGATTTTTTTTTTTTTTTTTTTGAGAGAAGTGACTAGGGACACAAAAAATTAAATGTGTGTGTGTGTGTGTGTGTGTGTAACTCTTGGTAGCTGTTTTGGTTATCTAGTGCTGCTCTAACAGAAAATGCCACAGATTGGTGGTTTTAACAAACAGGGATTTGTTCTCTTACAATTTAGGAAGCTGGAAGTCTGAATTCAAAGTGCCAGCTCTAGGGGCCGAGTGAAGGCCCCTCAACCTTGGGTTTCAGCTCTGCTTGGCCCACTGGAGCTGCAGGAAGTGTGCTGACTGCTCAGCTGACAAACCTGAGGTCAACAAACAAAATGGCACCGTCCCAAGATTATCAGCAACATGGCAGGCCACAAGTTCAAGTCCAGAAACAGTGCTAAGATCAGTAGACAACATGGTTGGCTGCTGAATGACGACTCAGCGAATTGCAGAATCCAGATGTGCCAAAAAGCTCGAGATCTTTCTCAAAGTTTCTTCTTACATAGTGGAAGCAGTCCACATCCCTAAGGGAGCTACTCAGCTGCTCCTAGTTTACACCATGGAGCTGATTACCAATTTCATCATGGGGAATGACTATGACCAGCTGCCCAGCCATTTAAAATCAGGCCCAGCCAAGATGACACATAACCTTAACGACCACAGGAGCTCTAGCAGAGCTGAAGGGCTAAGATACCTACTATCAAATGGATCACAAGAGTTCTACAAACTGAACTACTACAAGTTTATTCCATTAGAGATAACATCTAGAATCTACAAGTTCTTTCCACTAGCATTATAATACAAAGCTGTCTTTGCTCTTGTTGTTCGGTGCCATTGAGTCAGTTCTGACCCTAGCAATCCTATGCACAATAGAATGAAACGCTGCCTGGTCCTGTTAATCGTCACAACGATAGCTACGCTTGAGCATATGGTTGCAAACACTGTGTCAATCCATCTCTGAAGGTCATCTTTTTTACTGACCCTTGATCAGTCTTTGTTCTTAGCTCTGAACTTATGTAGAGCTGCCTTTCTTTACCTGATACTCCAATATGGAGGAGCAAGTTTGTAGGGAATAATTCTGCCAATCTTCAGTCTGTCAGTACAACTCCTCTGCTACTCTCTTCTTCTCACACACACATGCACACACTCACACTCACTCACATATACAATCTTGAAAATTATACACCAAGGTTTATTAGCAGATTTAACTAGGTAAGTAACACTCTAAGAGAAAAAAAAGAAAGGAATAGTATTTTATATTTTAAAATTTCCTCAGTGACAAGAAATGCCATTACATCAGATGTAGTACCCTCATAAATTAGGGTAAATCTGTGTCCTCTTTCTCTTAAATTTTAACATTTTTAATCATGGCAAAATACCTATGTATAAAAGTGAACAAAATGAAAGTGAACAGCTTGCCGATTTTGTCACAAGGTAAATATCCATGCACCCACAAGCAAGTAAAGATCTAAGATATTCAAGACCCCAGAAGCCCTCCCTTGTCCCTTCCACATCACTGTCTCCTTCTCCTCCCCAAAGATAACCACTATCCCTGAACACTTTATTATTTTGTCTGATTTTAAGAATTTTATCCAAGTTAAATCAAATGGCATGATTCTTTTGTGACTTTTTTTTTTGTTTGTTTAACACGTTTTTGAGATTAATCTATGTTAAGTGCAGCAGGAGTTAGTTTTATATAAAATATATTCCTGTATGTGAACTCATCACAATTTATTTTTCCATAATGGCCGTTTATGTTTATTATGGTTTGTACTTCTAGAAATACTTCTACCATGAACATATAATGGGTTATTAAGAACTAAACTAAAATTGCTTAAGACAGAAAAAATTCTAGCAGACAGGGTAAATTCTAGAAAGCCTTTGCTAATATCTACTAAGTGAAATGTAAGATTTTACTCAATTTTGCAAAATTTAAATCTCCCAAAGGGTAAGTTTAAAGGTTTAATTGTCTACCTGTGTGTCTTTGAATGTATAAAGCTAAAGAAAATTACTTCACTTTACCTTATAGTCAGTCATATTTTATCAGTTTAACAGAAGTTTAAAAACCTAACAAAGAACCAATAATGTAAGGAATATACTGTATAAAATAAACCAAAAAAAACAAATTCACTGCCATCAAGTCGATTCCGACTCATAGTGATCCCCTTTAGGTTTCTGAGGTGGTAAATCTTTACAGAAAGAGATTGCCCAGTCTTCTTTCTGCGGAAAGGCTGGTGGGTTTGAACCACCAACCTTCTGGTTAGCAGTCAAGTGCCTTGGTCACTACACCACCAGAGCATAAATCAATTTACTAGATTGATTAAATTTGATATCTACAAGTAAATATAAACTATTTACTATTGAATGTCAATTTTTAGTCTTTGCAATACTTTTTATTAATTATTCACAATAATGTATAATGGTGTATAAAAGAACATTATAATTTGAGTTGCATTGTTCTCAATTAAAATATACTAAAATGTGATTGTGAAATATTGCATTAAATGTATGGCACTGTGGCTTTCTTCATCAGATCATCTTTGTTACTGTGGAAGCAGCAAAAGGTTAAGTTAGTTTCTAAGTGGGATACATAGGACAAAGAGCACAAAAGGCAAATAAGAGGAAGCATTTTCTAGCTTTGTCACTTTAATGGGGAGAAAACAGAAAATGAAACTGTTTGAAATATAAGACAGTATGTCTTGTTTGAAAAACTTCACAAAAATGAGGACTTCTTAAAAATTATGTATTCTCAGGAAAATTGCTAATGATTTGTTTACTTGGTTCTGACTTTCCTTTAAGCAGTTGCATAGTTTTCAAGCCAGAATAAAATTGAATCCATATGATGATGAACAGTCCCCGAGTTTGGTTGGGTGAAATATAATAGGTAACAAAATAGAAAAGACGAACTATTAGTCAATGGAAGATATTTTGAATAAATACTCTTTGGTTTCAGAATCACATAACATAGTCTGAATAGACATGTGAAGGGAACTATTGTAATGATAAACAGTAACATGAAATATCATTATGAATAATTCCTGCACTATAGCTGTTTACACAGAGTGGAATGAGACAATCTACCAAATAAAAAATACTGCACAAAATATTTTACATCTATGTAAAAATATACATGTAGATCCATAAATGCATCTACGTATGCACAAAAATATAAAAAATTTACATTTGAAAGTCACAGCTCCTTTGAGTTAGATGTGCTCAAAACGATTCTGAAACTCTATCATAAATAAGTTTCACATTTCCTTTATATTATGTAAAACTATTCTTTCATGTTCATCATCATTATTATACAAAATAGCTTTCTCTTAGAGGAGATGCAGAAAAACAAGAGTAATGGCCAGATTATATAAAAATATTAAAGAAAACAAAAAAGTAGCACATTGACCCAAATAAAACATCATGGTGATCATTAGTAACAAAGTTAATGATTTTACTGCAGAAAGGAAAAAAAAAAAAAACACCTAACTAAAACTAAAACAAAACCTTTTTGTTTTATTATACAATCATTCAGTGATGTCTGAACAATGTTTGTAATAACTACCCTTAGTGACTGTTTCCAAATTATCTAAGGGCTGAGATTTGTAAAGAAGAGACATTTAAAACATGCATCCCACTTGACTTGGCTGAATGCCAGTGTGGGCAAGAATTCAGAGGGTACCTGGCTGATTGTATGATGTAGCGATGTATCTGTTGTTGCCTTTCTTCGTGGGGCTCTTGTTTTCTTTCTTTTTGGTGGCGGGATTTACTGATATAAAGAAGGCCAGGTAATAGTGCCTGCCAACCTAGCTTCTTTCCTCTCTAAAGACATTCTAGAATATCTTTACAAATATATTCCCCTGCCTTTATGTAACTGTGATCAGAGCAATTTCCCAACAAGGAGGAAAGGCTTAGTGCATAGTCTACCGAGTAGAGGCTATATTCTGCCAGTCAAAAAAAGTGAGTTGACTGGCTATCTTTGTCATTGAAAACTGTCCCATTTAACAAAGAAAGCATTCTAGCAGAGAGGCAATTACATTTCGAATC